ACCCCTTTCAGATGTAACTCTGGTCCTGATCCACGAGGTGTGCCTGGAACTTTTCTCGCCATGCCTTCATCTCTCGCCTTTCAAAATGCAAGGCCGCAGGCTCCGGTGTTTTGTGACCATCTGTGACCTATATATTATATCTACAAATCATTGTAAATCTACCAGTAGTACCCGCACGAGGCGGGGCGGAAGTTGCCTTAGGGATATATATAAAACCTTTCTCATCTATAGAACTTGCATGCGCTGTGCGCCAGCCAAGCCCGTGCGTGCGTGCATTCTGCGACAGTTGTGTCCTGTTTCACATGTCACATTTGAAGCTCCACTTCGCACTTCACACTTCTCACTGCACTCTTCACACTCCACACTTCACACTCAACACTCCACACTTCACACTTCACACTCCACACTTCACACTTCTCACTGCACTCTTCGCACTCCACACTTCACTTCGCACTGCACTCTTAAGACTCCACACTTCACACTCCACACTTCACAGTCCACACTTCACACTTCTCACTTCTCACTGCTTTATTCACACTCCACACTTCACACTTCACACACCACACTTCACACTGCACTCTTCACGCCCCACACTTCACACTGCACTTTTCACACTCCACACTTCATCTCATCTGAGCTCTTCTCACCTTTTCCCAGCTCATGTCTTCTCATCTCATCTCTTCTCATATGTCATCTAAGCTTTCATGAATCACTTCCCAGTACTACTACTAAGGAACTTGCATGCGTCGTGCGCAAGCCAGGCCCGTGCGTGCGTGCTTTGTGCGAAGCTGTTGCAGTGTTGTTGTCCAAGAACATGACCTGCGAGCGACCCCGGTGCAATGCAACGCCAAGCAAGCACTTTCCTCACACTTCACACTGCGCTCTTCACACTTCACACTTGCACTTCATCTCAACTCATCTCATCTGGGCTCTTCTCATCTCATTCCATGTCTTGCACAAAACACGTTCCAGTACTACTCTGTACTACAAAGCTTGCACAAAGTATTTCCCAGTACTACTTTGTACCACAAAGCTTGCACAAACTACTTCCCAGTACTGATGTCTAGTACAAAAGCTTGCACAAACTACTTCCCAGTACTACTTTGTGCTACAAAGCTTGCACAAAGTATTTCCTCCCACGTTAACCATACCTGATGAAACCCCTACCTTTGCTTTTCTCTACAAAGTGCGACGCTTTTTCTAACCCATCATTAACTTATCCTTTTTTAACCTTCAAGTAACCCCTTTCCACTAGAACTACTTTGACACTACAACAGCTTGCACAAACTTATTCCCAGTTAATTACTTTGTCTACAAAGCTTCCAAAGTATTTTCCTCCCAGTAAGACTGTACTAAAAGCTTTGCACAAAGTATTTCCTCCCCAGTAACTACTTTGTACTACCAAGCTTGCAAAGCACTTCCCAGTATTCTTTACCCTTCTCTCAACTACTCACCTCCTACACACTCTTTGTACTAAAAGCTTGCACAAACTAATTCCCAGTACTACTTTTGTACTACAAGCTTGCCAAAGCACTTCCCAGTACTACTGTGTTACTACAAAGCTTGCACAAACTACTTCCCAGTACTACTTTGTACTACAAAGCTTGCAAAGCACTTCCCAGTACTACTGTGTACTACAAAGCTTGCACAAACTACTTCCCAGTACTACTTTGTGCTACAAAGCTTGCACAAAGTATTTCCTCCCAGTACTACTTTGTACTACAAAGCTTGCACAAACTACTTCCCAGTACTACTTTGTACTACAAAGCTTGCACAAAGTATTTCCTCCCAGTACTACTTTGTACTACAAAGCTTGCACGAAACACTTCCCAGTACTACTTTGTACTACAAAGCTTGCACAAACTACTTCCCAGTACTACTTTGCACTACAAAGCTTGCACAAAGTATTTCCTCCCAGTACTACTTTGTACTACAAAGCTTGCACAAAACACTTCCCAGTACTACTTTGTACTACAAAATTTGCACAAATTATTTCCCACTACTTTTTAAGCAAGCTTGCACAAAGAAAGCTTTTACACACAGCAAGTTCTTTCGCAGAGAAGCTTTTACACACAGCAAACTTTTTAAACAGAGAAGCTTTTACACACAGATGTCACAGAAGCCTTTACACACAACAAGCTTTTACACAGAGAAGCTTTTACACACAGCAAGCTTTCACACACAGCAAGCGTTTACACACAGAACACTTACACACAGTGCTTTTACACATGGCAAGCGCTGACACACAGAACACTTACACACAGTGCTTTTACACATGGCAAGCGTTGACACACAGAAACTTTTGCACAAAGACGCTTTTACACACAGAGAAGCTTTTACACACAGAAAGCTTTTACACACAAAATCTTGTACACACAGCAAGCTTTCACACACAGCAAGCGTTTACACACAGAACACTTACACACAGTGCTTTTACACATGGCAAGCGTTTACAAACAGAACACTTACACGCAGCGCTTTTACACATGGCAAGCGTTTACACTGCAAGCTTTTTCAACAGAGAAGCTTTTACACACAGAGAAGCTTTTACACACAACACGCTTTTACACAGAGAAGCTTTTACACACAGCAAGCTTTCACACACAGCAAGCGTTTACACACAGGACACTTACACACAGTGGTTTTACACATGGCAACCGTTTACACACACAGAAACTTTTACACTGAGACGCTTTTACAAACAGAGAAGCTTTTACACAAAATCTTTTACACACAGCAAGCGTTTATCACAACAGGGATTGCAGCTATCTCAACACCAAAGCAGAAAAAAGACGATTTTGAAGCACTTTTTAAAAGCATTATGAAAAGGAAAATTACTAGCGCCAAAATGAAGAAAATCTGCTAACAAATCACTATCGTAGCCTGGATGCAGCCACTCCAATACGATTTATGATGTGCAGCTGCAAAAGACAATAGTATTACGCATGCAGCCGCGGCACCGAGCAACCTTGACGCAGCCACTACAAGGCGATCTGCAGACACTGAGTTGCAAAACACAATAGAACTACGCGCAACAGTATCGGAAATTGCAGCTCCAAAACCGGATGTCGACGCCAAAGCAAGAAAAAACGATTTTGAAGCACTTTTTAAAAGGATTTTTAAAGGAAAATTTCTACCGTGAAAATTGCGAAAATCTACTCGCAAATCACTATCGCAGCCTGGATGCAGCCACTCCAATACGATTTACGATGTTCAGCTGCAAAAGACAATAGTATTACGCATGCAGCCGCGGCACCGAGCAACCTTGACGCAGCCACTACAATGCGATCTGCAGACACTGAGTTGCAAAACACAATAGAACTACGCGCAACGGCGTCGGAAATTGCAGCTCCAAAACCGGATCTCGACGCCAAAGCAGAAAAAACGATTTTGAAGCACTTTTTAAAAATATTTTTAAAAGGAAAATTACTACCGTGAAAATTGCGAAAATCTACTCGCAAATCACTATCGCAGCCTGGATGCAGCCACTCCAATACGATTTACGATGTTCAGCTGCAAAAGACAATAGTATTACGCATGCAGCCGCGGCACCGAGCAACGTTGAGCACACAAGGTGTCGTGCTCCGGCTTCCTCCCCAAAACATAGCCCATGCAACATTCATGCAGCCATTACAATGCGATCTGCAACCACAGCTTCAGGAAACGCATAGAACTACGCACACAGGAACAACCATTGTTGCAAAACACATAGAAGGAACCAATCGCGTCCGGAACGACCGCAGCCGCAACCGCCGCACAGACGAGGTATACCTTTCATCGTCGCCTGCAGCCACTTTACACGGAAAAAACACGGTTTCGTGCTCCGGCTTCCTCCCCAAAACATAGCCCATGCAACATTCATGCAGCCATTCCAATGCGAGCAGCAAACACAGCTTCAGGAAACGCATATCAGAACTACGCACACAGGAACAACCATTGTTGCAAAACACATAGAAGGAACCAATCGCGTCCGGAACGACCGCAGCCGCAACCGCCGCACAGACGAGGTACCTTTCATCGTCGCCTGCAGCCACTTTACACGGAAAAACACAAGGTTTCGTGCTCCGGCTTCCTCCCCAAAACATAGCCCATGCAACATTCATGCAGCCATTCCAATGCGATCTGCAACCACAGCTGCAAGAAGCGCATAGAACTACACCACAGGAACAGCCACTTGTTGCAAAACACATAGAAGGAACCAATCGCGTCCGGAACGACCGCAGCCGCACCCGTCGCACACACGAGGTACCTTTCATCGTCGCCTGCAGCCACTTTACAGAGAAAAACACAAGGTTTCGTGCTCCGGCTTCCTCCCCAAAACATAGACCATGCAACATTCATGCAGCCATTACAATGCGATCTGCAACCACAGCCTCAGGAAACGCATAGAACGACACCACAAGAACAACCACTTGTCGCAAAACATATAGAAGGAACCAATCGCGTCCGGGACGTCCGCAGCCGCACCCGTCGCACACACGAGGTACCTTTCATCGTCGCCTGCAGCCACTTTACACGGAAAAATACAAGGTTTCGTGCTCCGGCTTCCTCCCCAAAACATAGCCCATGCAACATTCACGCAGCCATTACAATCCGATCTGCAACCACAGCTTCAGGAAACGCATAGAACTACGCACATAGGAACAACCACTTGTTGCAAAACACATAGAAGGAGCCAATCGCGTCCGGAACGACCGCAGCCGCACCCGTCGCACACACGAGGTACCTTTCATCGTCGCCTGCAGCCACTTTACACGGAAAAACACAAGGTTTCGTGCTCTGGCTTCCTCCCCAAAACATAGCCCATGCAACATCCATGCAGCCAGTACAATGCGATCTGCAACCACAGCTTCAGGAAACGTATAGAACTACGCACACAGGAACAACCACTTGCTGCAAAACACATAGAAGGAACCAATCGCGTCCGGAACGACCGCAGCACACACAAGGTACCTTTCATCGTCGCCTGCAGCCACTTTACACGGAAAAACACAAGGTTTCGTGCTCCGGCTTCCTCCCCAAAACATAGCCCATGCAACATTCATGCAGCCATTACAATGCGATCTGCAACCACAGCCTCAGGAAACGCATAGAACGACACCACAGGAACAACCACTTGTCGCAAAACATATAGAAGGAACCAATCGCGTCCGGAACGACCGCAGCCGCACCCGTCGCACACACGAGGTACCTTTCATCGTCGCCTGCAGCCACTTTACACGGAAAAACAAAAGGTTTCGTGCTCCGGCTTCCTCCCCAAAACATAGCCCATCATTCAATGCAGAGCATTTCAAATGCGATCTGCAACCACAGCTGCACAAGAAGCGCCTAGAACAACCACCCCAGTACAGCCACTGTGCAAAACACATAGAAAGGAACCAATCGCGTCCGGACGACCGCAGGCCCGCACCCGTCGCACACACTGTTAAAACCTTTTCATCAGTCGCCCTGCAGCCACTTTACAACACTGAAAACAAAGGTTCGTGCTCCGGCTCCTCCCCAACATTAATCCGAAATCTCATTGGACTAAATCCCCCTTCCACCTTCCTCCTGCAGCCCTTACAATGCTGATCCTGCAACCAACTGCAAGCAACGCATATAACTACAACACCCCACCGAACAGCTACTTGTGGCAAAAACACATCTAGGAACCATCTCAAGGGACGAGGTCCGGAAACGACCGCAGTCGCACCCGTCGTACAACACAGGTACCTTTCCCATCGTCGGCTGCAGCCACTTTACACGGAAAAACACAAGGTTTGGTGCTCCGGCTTCCTCCCCACAACATAGCCCATGCAACATTCATGCAGCCATTCCAATGCGATCTGCACTCCCCTTCCTCACCACTTCCCTTCGTCACCACTCCCTTCATCATCACTTCCCTTCTTCACCACTTCCCTTCGTCACCACTTCCCTTCGTCACCACTTCCCTTCCTCACCACTTCCCTTCGTCACCACTCCCCTTCATCATCACTTCCCTTCTTCACCACTCCCCTTCTTCACCACTCTCACCCTCATCCATCACTTCCCTTCTTCACCACTGCCCTCGTCACCACTTTTTCCCTTTCCACCACTTTGTCCACTTCCTCACCACTTCCCTTCCCCCCGTCACCACTCCCCTTCATCATCACTTCCCTTCTTCACCACTTCCCTTCGTCACCCCTTCCCTTCGTCACCACTTCCCTTCGTCACCACTTCCCTTCGTCACCACTTCCCTTCGTCACCACTCCCCTTCCTCACCACTCCCCTTCATCATCACTTCCCTTCCTCACCACATCCCTTCGTCACCACTTCCCTTCTCCACCACTTCCCTTCCTCACCACTTCCCTTCGTCACCACTCCCCTTCATCATCACTTCCCTTCTTCACCCACCCTGTGTCATAGCTTCTTATTCTTTTGTTATGTATTGTCATGTGATCTACCACCCATCATCAAGGTCAATTCCATAGCTTCTTATTCTTTTGTTATGTATTGTTACATTATGTATTGTTATGTGATCTACCACCCTTCATCAAGGTCAACTGCATAGCTTCTTATTCTTTTGTTATGTATTGTTACATTACGTATTGTTATGTGATCTACCACCCTTCATCAAGGTCAACTGCATAGCTTCTTATTCTTTTGTTATGTATTGTTAGATGACGTACCACCCTTCATCATTTCAAGTCTCAGAATTCTATTTGTCCGTAACACGGAAGTATTGCTTCCCAACTTCCTTTGATAATTTATCTATAAATTTTTATACATATTTGGTCAAACAAACTTGGTCAATTTGGCTCGCCAAATCTCGCCAAACTTAAACAGACTGCATATGATTGCATGAATTTCCTTCGCAAGATATCTAGGTAATCTAGGGGACCCTGCTCACTTGCCGTCTGAGCATCCATTCGTTGAATCTCCATCTGCTCGCGGAGGGCCTTGTCAAAAGGATGGAAGGTCTAGAAAAGGCTCAGAGTTTCCCAGAACAGTTCTCCACCCACTCAATGATCTTAGGGGCTTAGAGTTTGTCGATAGTGGCCCACGTGGATCACAAGACCTAGTCCTAGATTTTGCCTGCGGCCCGAAAACCGGCAAGCGTTTTTGCGTTTTTTTGCGTTGTGATATGTTGGGGGGTGGGGGGTGGGGTCGGGGGGTGTAATATCGGGCTGTGTTTACGTTATCATCAAATTTCTTCGGTGAACACACTTCATGTTACGTTGCACACTTCTGTTGTACTTCGGTGACCAAACTTCATGTTACGTTGCACACTTCCGTTGTACTTCGGTGAACACACTTCATGTTACGTTGCACACTTCTGTTGTACTTCGGTGACCAAACTTCATGTTACGTTGCACACTTCCTTTGTACTTCAGTGAACACACTTCATGTTACGTTGCACACTTCTGTTGTACTTCGGTGACCAAACTCCATGTTATGTTGCACACTTCTGCTGTACTTCGGTGAACACACTTCATGTTACGTTGCACAATTCTGTTGTACTTCCGTGAACACACTTCATGTTACGTTGCAGACTTCTGTTGTACTTGGGTGAACACACTTCATGTTACGTTGCACACTTCTGTTGTACTTCGGTGACCAAACTTCATGTTACGTTGCACACTTCACTTCTGAACACACTTCATGTTACGTTACTGTTCGGTGAACACACTTCATGTTACGTTGCACAATTCTGTTGTACTTCCGTGAACACACTTCATGTTACTTGCAGACTTCTGTTGTACTTGGGTGAACACACTTCATGTTACGTTGCACACTTCTGTTGTACTTCGGTGACCAAACTTCATGTTACGTTGCACACTTCTGTTGTACTTCGGTGACCAAACTCCATGTTACGTTGCACACTTCTGCTGTACTTCGGTGAACACACTTCATGTTACGTTGCACACTTCCTGTTGTACTTCGGTGAACACACTTCATGTTACGTTGCAGACTTCTGTTGTACTTGGGTGAACACACTTCATGTTACGTTGCACACTTCTGTTGTACTTCGGTGACCAAACTTCATGTTACGTTGCACACTTCTGCTGTACTTCGGTGAACACACTTCATGTTACGTTGCACAATTCTGTTGTACTTCCGTGAACACACTTCATGTTACGTTGCAGACTTCTGTTGTACTTGGGTGAACACACTTCATGTTACGTTGCACACTTCTGTTGTACTTCGGTGACCAAACTTCATGTTACGTTGCACACTTCTGTTGTATTTCCGTGAACACACTTCATGTTACGTTGCAGACTTCTGTTGAAACGGTGAACACACTTCATGTTACGTTGCACACTTCTCTTGTGCTTCGGTGACCAAACTTCATGTTACGTTGCACACTTCCTTTGAACTTCGGTGAACACACTTCATGTTATGTTGCACACTTCTGTTGTACTTCGGTGACCAAACTTCATGTTACGTTGCACACTTCTGTTGTACTTCCGTGAACGCACTTCATGTTACGTTGCAGACTTCTGCTGTACTTCGGTGACCAAACTTCATGTTACTTTGCACACGTCTGTTGTACTTCAGTGAGCACACTTCATGTTACGTTGCACACTTCTGTTGCACTTCGTTGAACACACTTCATGTTACATTGCACACACTTCTGTTGTACTTAGGTGAACACACTTCATGTTAAGTTGCGCACTTCTGCTGTACTTCGGTGACAAAACTTCATGTTACGTTGCACACTTCCGTTGTACTTCGGTGAACACACTTCATGTTACGTTGCACACTTCTGTTGTGCTTTGGTGAACACACTTCATGTTACGTTGCACACTTCTGTTGTACTTCGGTGACACAACATCATGTTAAGTTGCACACTTCTGTTGTACTTCGGTGAACACACTTCATGTTACGTTGCACACTTCTGTTGTACTTCGGTGACCAAACTTCATGTTACGTTGCACACTTCCTTTGTACTTCGGTGAACACACTTCATGTTACGTTGCACACTTCTGTTGTACTTCGGTGACCAAACTTCATGTTACGTTGCACACTTCCGTTGTACTTCGGTGAACACACTTCATGCTACGTTGCACACTTCTGTTGTACTTCAGTGACCAAACTTCATGTTACGTTGCACACTTCTGTTGTACTTCGGTGACCAAACTTCATGTTACGTTGCACACTTCTGTTGTACTTCGGTGATCAAACTTCATGTTCATTGCACACTTCCTTTGTACTTCGGTGACCACACTTCATGTTACGTTGCACACTTCTGTTGTACTTCGGTGACCAAACTTCATGTTCGTTGCACACTTCTGCTGTACTTCGGTGACCACACTTCATGTTACTTTGCACACTTCTCTTGTGCTTCGGTGACCAAACTTCATGTTACGTTGCACACTTCTGTTGTACTTCGGTGACCACACTTCATGTTACGTTGCACACTTCTGTTGTACTTCGGTGACCACACTTCATGTTACGTTGCACACTTAGTTTGTGAGCCGCTCCAAAGGCCAATTTACAAAGACTGCGCGCCGTGTCCAGCGAGGCAGCCCAAAGGTCTTTGCCCAGACTGGTACAATAGATAGTTGCTGGAAGGCCTGTAAAAAGATGCCGCCAGGTAGCCTGTCTAGCCGAAGTCCAATGATCATGACATATGTCAAGGCTTGGCAATGGCGATACATACATGTGTGTGATATCACTGCAAAGACGGTCCGCAAGTTGAGGTGATGGAAAAGAATCGCTGGCGCTGTGGCGAAACGCAAAACCATCCAAAAAACGTAACGTTTTTTGAGGGTGTTCAACATAAATCCCAATGGAAATGAAGTGCCAAAAGACACCACCATGATGTAAACATGTGGCAAATGCCAAGTTTTGAACAAGACGAAAATCACAATGAACATGAAAATTGATGAAAACGCTGGGCCGATTTCCGGGCCGTTCGGTAGATTTTGACAAAGGACACCAAATGCCAAAGACTTAAAATAAACAAAACGGGAAAAAAACACACGCAAAAAAAAGGAAACATTGTTCAACGCCTTTCACCAAGCCTCATTACTCTTCACGGCTTCTGCAAGGGCCTTTTCTCAGGTGTCAAGGTTCCAAGCAACGTCAAGCAATTATCAGTTGACTATAGGTGCTTGGCATAGCCATAGTGTTTGCAAAAAAAAAAGCAAGCCCACGTTCAAGATATTCAGTGTCAAGACATCGAACTACCCCAGCAGTATGAATCTTTATATCATGTGGCTTCTCTGAATCTCGTTGTTGAAAGGCAGGGTGGTGAAAGCAGCTGCAGGAGCAGATTCTGAAACAAAGACTGCCAACATACAACTGACCTTGTCACATTGCCTCTAAGGTCCTCCAACCACAATGACACATGCACACAGGCTGCACTCGCATCAACGGCTAAGAAATTGCAGCAATGAGAAGTGGTCGTTTCAATATTTTCCATGAGAAGTGCACTGAGGCCTTTGAATTCTGTTATTTTAATGTTTTCGTATTTTGAATGCTGGGCCTACCGCTGGTGGTCTGGTCCAATCGCAGGCCAACTCTCTGCCCTCAGGCCGCTCACCTCGTCCGAGAATTTCACTTGCTGGCGTAGTGACTCGACCTCAGGCCCCATCCAGCACTGTGCCCATGTGCACTTCATGGCACTTCATGGCACTTCATGGCACTTCATGGCACTTCATGGCACTTCATGGCACTTCATGTCAATGCGCGTCACAAGGGGATTTCAATGATTTCAATGTGTTTCTGTTTTAAAGTCTTTGGCGTCTGCTGCAAACTGTCACGAAATGAATTGTAGATTAAAGAATATCAAAGACTGGAAGAATCTCTGCAAAGAAGAAACACTGACTGAGGAATGCACTGAGGCCTACCGCAGCAGGGAAATCTAAATTCTGAAGCTCTGTTCTGAATATCCCAACCAGCAGACTTTTGCCCTATAGATCTTGGACCTTCCAAGATTATTGATCACCCCACATTCACCACTGCAAGGCATTTTGATCACAAGGAATGTGAGAAGAGAACAAAGGCTACATGATGGCTTGAAATCACACATCAACACTCAAGAATACCAGCCACTCCGCATAATGCATAAGTTTAACCCCTTAGTCTTGAGTCTTACATCCCAAGTCTGTAGCACAAGCTTGTAGCTCTTGTAGCTTGTACTGAAAAAAAAATGTCTGTACCATTTTAATTTCAAAAGTCAGGCGCATACACGCATAGCTTCCGAATTTTCCAACAGGTTTGTCTCACGGTCTTCAATCGTTTCCGACACCTCTTAGTCTCTGCAACCCAATTTGCTTCAGTCACGATTTCCATTGATTTCCAATAGGTTCTTCATGGTTCTTCAGTATTTACAACAGGACTTTAAGAGAAACTTGGCTCGGAGGTCCCGCTCTGATGCCATCCACCTGCAGGCGATCTCGCTCTCCTTGCACCTTGGCACGGCCGTCCAAGGCCTGTCGGGTTCGAGTGCCTTGAACGACCTGGTGCCATGTTCAGGTCATCCTGGTCATCCTGGTCATCCTGGTCCCTAGAAAAGATGATCACTGAACTTCGTGTAGGTCATCCTGTAACTTCGATTCATGACATTGACCATGATTGACCTTCGTGATCTCCGACCCTTTGCTCAGCTATTGGCCGCTGCCAGTCTTGCCTCATCACGCGATAAGCTCAAAGCAGCTCAAGACTTTGCAACGTCTTTTCACAGCTTGTGGAAAGCTTGCGATGCCGTGACAAGCTGTGACAAGCCTCTCAAACGTCACAGAAACAACTCCATGTATGAGCCTCCATCTGCACTGACTTTCGATGGGCAGTTTGGAGCGTAGCCTCTGCAAACCAACACCAAGGAGTTCATCCCCAATTGATGAATTCAAAGCTTCAAAAAATTGCTTCTTGCGACAGGAAATCAATTCTACATAGATCTACATAGATCTACATAGATCTACATAGATCTACAGCTAATAGTGCGATAGCCTTTTGGAAAGAGGCAGCAACCAGCAAAGCTACGCAGCTATTACCTTTTTCGCAGGCACACAGGACTTCCGGTGTTCCGGCCAGCAACGCTGTTGACCTTGGCGGCAACACTCCACGGTTTTTGTGTAATACGGTAGTAATACGTGTAAAAATATGAAAAAGTTGCAAGATCTCACAACTGTGCTTCGAAGCTGCTCTACTCGGTTTCTGGGTCTCTCGTACAGTGATTCTACAGTCTCCGCAGCTCAGTTCTGTGAAACTGCAAAGAAGGCTAAGGAAGGCACATTCGGCGCTGCAAAGAAGCAGTTCACCTGGCAACGAATCCATGACTCGCAAGACATCCCGGATTTGTTTGCAGCCAATACTTCGCACTAATTACAGTAATAACCACGAAAGAAAAGGCCAAGAACATTGCGGGATGCTTTATTCCAGTTTTCTCTGGTATCTGGCAAAATCATCTGGAATCTAGATATGTCTCCCAATTAGCCAGCATACAGGCTGAAATGAGATGTTGTCCTGGTTCGCCAGAAGCTTCAAAAAGAAGTCTGCCCGTCATGAGACAAGTTCCAGCGCAGCCATTTGGCAAGCTGAAGGACATACGGAAGTCAACTGTCAACTGAGTCAAGTATCGATTTATCCCATGCCAGTACATGAGGCCACAAACTCAAACACTGCCAGAATGACGGCAGCGACCACACCTAGGTCATGGCGCATTTCACCAGTACGAGTAACTTGCTAATTTCATGAAAAATGCAAACAAACAAAAAAAAAACATATCACTAAATCATCAAAAACCCACGGAATATGTTTCTGGTAAATCTTTGGGATAAGACTGGCTTCGGCATTGCCTTTGCTGAAAGATTCCCCAGGCAGTGAGCAGTCCTGCCTTGTTCGTGCAGGTCGGCCACAAACAGCACAGCTGTCACCTCCAAATGTCTCTTGCTGTGCCTGTCAAGCTTCATTCAAGCTTCATTCAAGTCACAAGTTTTTCAAAGTCTGTGATTTTGCAGCGTTTAGACCTTCACCACCGAACTTTCCAGAGCAACGCCTTGGTGTTTTCTCGATCAAGGCTTCGTAGACGTGCCAACCTTGCCAAGGTTCCGCTGCAAATTATCACAGAAAACATTTCACAACAATACAACACACCTAGCCGACTTAGCCCAATTCTTGTGTATTAACCACCTTACACAACTGATACAGCACATTGTACAGTTCATGTGTGCATGGCGCGTGTTTTGGCATGTCACACTACAAAACACAGCAGAAACACGAATTGGCAAGAAAATTCTCTTTTACTCGAACAGCTGGAAAGAGAAAACTATAGCATAAGTCAAAGCAGAAGCCAAAGACTCGATGTGTGAAGGTTGAACAGGTGTTTCACGGTGTACGTGTCTTTACATGTCTTTTTGAATCTTTACCGCCTACAGCTGAATTGTTTTGCTGCTTAGCCGCACGGAACGACCACCAGAGAAACCACCATGCCCTCTGCCCAGCGCAGCACTCAGAGCAGCCTCCACCTGCACAGACTACGGCAGCTTCTGAATCTCCACCACGAACACATGAATTGTCACACACAAGAAATTGTCAAACACATCTGTATGAATCCGTGTGTGTGTGTTGTCGTGGACATCTATTCATATATGATATCACGATATCATATTAGAAATCAAAACATGACATATGGTATGTCAGTTTATATTTGTATAATTTATATCATAGATTACTTCTACACCAATCAATACACCATTATATTGTATACGTTTGTGTGTGTGCATGTGGGCGCGATGATACACGCACATATACATTGCACCTACCCAGTACTGCTACATCAAATGTTGATACAAAGACGCTCATGGCCTATCGAGAATCTCGCTGCCTGATGTGAACCTTCTGTGTTGTTGCAACAGGCGACAACACAGTGAGGCACCTTCGCTTGTGGAGGTAATGAACTGTATCCAAAGATCTCCTCGCAGTGAATATTTTGGGTCTTGACCTGTCTTGACCGTGCCAAGAGATGGCGCCCGCGCAGTTTGTACTACACAATGTAAAGCAACACCTAGGACAGGATTGCCCAGCATGCAGTGTCTATGCCGTGTCAACTGTCAACCCTCAAAGACTCAGCAAAGGCAAAGCTTTGACATCTGTTCTCCGTTTCCTTAAGGCAAACCATGAATCAAAAATTGGGCCCGAACCGTTTCAGAGTGAATCCTATGCGTATATTGTGTCTCTATGTCTATCAGTCTCTGTGTCTGTATGTATGTAATTATACGTAATTATATGTATATAATCATATGTAATTATATGTAATTATATGTAATTATATGTAATTATATGTAATTATATGTAATTATATGTAATTATATGTAACTATATGTAATTATATGTAATTATATGTAATTATATGTAAATATATGTAATTATATGTAGTTAAATGTAATTAAATGTAATTAAATGTAATTAAATGTAATTAAATGTAATTAAATGTAATTTATGTATGTATGTATGTATGTATGTCTGTGTGTGTGTATGTATGTATGTATGTATGTATGTATGTCTGCCTGTCTGTCTGTATGCATGCATGCATGCATGTACATGTATGTATGCATGTGTATGTATGTGTATGTGTATGTATGTGTATGTGTATGTGTGTGTATGTGTATGTGCATATGTATGTGTATATGTATGTGTATGTATGTGTATGTATGTGTATGTATATGTATATGTACGTGTATGTGTATGTGTATGTGTACGTGTGTGTATGTATGTATGTCTGTCTGTCTGTCTGTCTGTATGTACGTACGCATGGATGTCTGGATGGATGGATGGATGTATGTATGTATGTCTGTCTGTATGTCTGTCTGTCTGTATGTACGTATGCATGGATGTCTGGATGGATGGATGGATGGATGGATGTCTGTATGTCTGTCTGTCTGTCTGTATGTACGTATGCATGGATGTCTGGATGGATGGATGGATGGATGTATGTCTGTATGTCTGTATGTCTGTCTGTATGTACGTATGCATGGATGTCTGGATGGATGGATGGGATAGATGGGATAGATGGGATAGATGGGATAGATGGGATAGATGGGATAGATGGGATAGATGGGATAGATGGGATAGATGGGATGGATGTGCATGCGCTTCAGCGAGAAAACTTTGCTCTGTCGGTATATACAAATGATTCGACTCAAATAGGGGATTGTGCTTAAAATCGATGGTGAAAACCGTAAAAACTGCTAAAATGTTTTTTAAAAATAAAAAAAAATGTGTTGGAGGGCTCCTCCTTCTGTCCAGCATGCGCCAAGACCGCCTCCAAGATCCGGTTAAGGCCTCACCACAGTCGCGGGGCCGACCTGCTTGACATCTGACACAGCACGTTTCATGAAGACCGGTTCATGAAAACCATCTTTAAAACAATTTAAACCCGTATTGAAAATAAGTTCACTTCTTCATGAGTCAATACAGCACTCTAGGCCTAGGCATAGTTGCCAGGCATCTGGGCCTCGTGAATTGGCATAGAAGGACTGCAGCGACCAAGATGCCTGGCAACTGCTCCACACACTGGCACTAGCTTCAATGCTCTCTCAGCCCCGTAATGGCAACGCAACGGCACCTCATCTGCGTAGCTTTGCACCTGAGTTGGGTTGCGACCATGTCAAACGGAATGCGTTTTTACAAGAAAATTTCCGGTAAAAACTGGTGACAAAGCTTCCAGTTGAATGGAGAGACAGTTCATGTTGCCCACCTCTGAGTAGCTGATTGACTGAAAATTCTGAGGCAGTCTCGCTTAGCTTTGGACCCAGCCCCCTGCAGGCAAGCAGGCCATCTCGCCCGGTTTCAGCAGCACCTGAAATGCAACTTGACGGTTTCCCCCACAGAAGAAGGGAACAGCCTGCATGTTATTGAGCAAGTTGAAATAAGTCGACAGCTCTAGAAATGCTTGGTCTGAAATTTCTTTGCTAGTATCAACCGTTGCTGCACGAAGCCATGCAAAACGCCAGAATTCTTCTACACTTCTCAAGATCGTTGGAGATTCAACCCGCTAGCACCGCGACTACGACAAGCATCTATGGATGCAAATTGTCTCTGTGTATTTGTTCCTTGGATCTAGGAAAAATACAAGAGCTGCAAACTTTTCAGTACAGCCTCCAATGCTTTTGGCAGTTGAGAAGCCTCTGGAAAACGCTGCAAATCTGGACCTTGGCAACGAAGCAGTGTTTTGTGGGGCTATGGATGTCAACCGTTACTGCAATCATGCTCCCATTGACATTGCGGTTGTATCTAAGATAACCCAACCTTCTGCTTATCGGACACTGAACTACGTTTCTTTGTTGAACAGCCTCTTGGCATTGTGATCTACGAATCAGGAAAAGACCAAACAAAGTCTGTCTCAGTGCACTTATGGAGTACAGGTCGAAGATCTGCAGATTGGGCAAAAGAGTGAAGGAATCCCATTGAAATCCACTTGGCAAATGCAAATTGCACTGCTGTACTCAAAGCGTCGAGTTTCCTGAGCACTTCAAGAGATTGCATCTGTACCCTGCATCAGTCTGTCCAACCAGAACACATCAGTCTTGTCCAACAGAACTCACATGGCTCTTCTGAGAATCCCAGCCAAAGGAATCTAGGTGAGTGATTGGACTGCAGGGGTTCCCGACAGAGATGCCAAAAAATAAGCTTTTGATCTTGTGGTGTTTCAACCTCTTGAACCGTGAACACCATGACCTCATCAGCATCGAAATCTATCCCTTTTGACATATTGACATAATATGACACAATAAATATCACATAATTCACATAATAATTTTAATAAATATCTGTAGTGAAAGGACTATCCCAACAGCCTCTCAGCCATTTCAGCTGCAAAAAGGTCGACGTCGCTGAGAAGGTGCTCGCACACGGTGAAGAGTGGACGACCGTCCTTGACCAGAAAAAGACGAAAAGACTCTGCCTTTCCTGCTCTATGAGTCTCTATGAGTCTCTATGAGTCTCTATGATATTGATGAATTTCCCCTTGGCTTGAGGCAACTCTCGAACCCGTCATGGAATCATGAGCACCTCATCAAAGACGCCCATGGGCTCGCGAAAGGGACGGAGTGGGGCCAAACGACCCGCTTCACACCTGGCAGAATGCTGTGGATATCCAAATCTCTCAGAATCATCAAACGTCTCGTTGAAACTTTTGAAACTGGACGGAAAGAATTCTTTGTTTCTGGCATTCTCGGCATTCTACTCGTGCCTCTCTGGGAGCAGTTTCAGGCGCATCTTTCCCGTCAGGCAAAGGATCCACCTGATTCAAAGCTGATCCTGTCACCATGCCCTCTCGTCCCTCTCTTTGGATTGCACATATTGCAACCTTTCCGAATTTCCCCCCCATCCTAGCCCATCCTAGCCCTTTCATATCGCTTCATAACTCCTTTCGAGTGACCAAAATCTTCCAGGATTTTTGAGCCTCCCCACTGCGGGGCTTCCAAGCCGCTCCGCACAAGTTGAGTACGTGCCTTTGGCCACTGAAAGGCTTTCAAGGCCACGCGACAACGACAGCTCCGGCGAAATCTGATTTGGTAAATCTGACAGCACAGCCAGCACAGCTACTCAACTGGCATGGTTCGCTCGAACTATGCATGTGTCAACTGAGCTTTCAAGAGCGAACCAAATAGCGAGAATTTTGGGAATACAAAGAGTGTCGAGAAAGTGCTTGAAGGTTTGATATATCTTTTCAAAGACGAAATGTGGGACAGTATGAATCCAACTCCCGGCAAAAAGGAAAAGGTCTTTCAAAGCTGCCAAGTGACACCAGCTCCTGCAATCTGAAGCATTGGGGCCTGAGTGCTTCAGAAGCACGGCGCTTCAGGAATCTTGATTTCAAACTTGTTGGCACTTCTCCACGACTTTTGACTAGATGCTGCGTTTGACCATCTTTCCCCTGGGCCATGGCCTCGAAGACTTCAATGATATAGAGGATAGAGACTCAGAAAGAATGTAAGAAATCGTAAGAACGTCTAAAATTAAAACTGCATAAACTGCTTTCATAGATGCTTGTGTCCAGCATCCCGAAAATCCTTTCCCTGAGTGTTCACACTGGTGCAATCTTCCTGCAGCATTGGAGTACAATGCAAGAACATCAACCCACACCGACGTCAGACATCAACGGTTCAACATCCACGAGGCCACAATCCTTGGCCAGATGCAGAAGAAGTCCTGTTCACCTGCACAGCACATCCCCAAACCACAATATCCACAATCCACAGTCAAAAAGGATCAAATGGCCTTAATGCAGCTTCTTTGGTATGTGCTGCTGTGCAACTGGAATTTGGTAAAGCTGTTTGTTGCATCAGCGGGAGGACCCAACATCGCGGAGAAAAGCTGCTAGCCAGGCCTGGCCTTTCTACACCAAAACAAATGCTACGCAGCAGCCTACTTCAAAGCACAGCATGTTCCGTCTGCACAGCCTCTCGGCAGTGGCTCGGGAAGGTTGTCATGGAGTAGTCGCATCACTTCTGCATCCTGCAACAAGCAGGTCATAAGGAGCTTGCAACTTGCCTTACAAAAGATTCACATAGCCACCTCAACAGGGTCAGCGCAACACATGGCCACAATGAATCTACGTCTGACGGCTAGGACAATGTGACAGTGTCCATCTAGCTTTTGCTTGGGATGATACCTCTGTGGCCATGAAATCGCCCTGGAAATAGGCGAAGCGCTGCCGGTCAGAAAGCTTTTGACACCTCAGACAAAGACCATTAGAAATGCAACGAAGCACATTATCACCATTATCATCATTATGCTGGTACTGACACTACAGTTAGCACGTTGCACTTCATTCACATTGTATCATGGCAACACATAAACTGCTTCACAGCAAGCCTTCGATTTCTCGTGTTGAAGCACAAGCTGAAATGATGTTTGTCTACTCTGGACCCAGCAATGAGTAGCAGAAACCTGAGAAAGCTCGCAAATGATGCCTTTAACAAAGCCTAATGCCCCCCCTCGTCTTTCACCCGCCGAGTTGCTCATCCGCAAAAACCTCCATGGTGCTCTCAGTGAGACCACGCTTGCCTGTGATGCCACAGACCTCCACGAAGTGGATCACCTTGCAGATAGGCACAGCAATTTAGAACAAGTTTCAGAAGACAAAAAATCACCACCCGTACAACATGGTACAACACGGTACCACATGATACAACATGGTCAAAGGCAGTTTAATAGGGGGAGAAACTTCCGTGTTACGGACTTTTAGAATGTCAGGGAAAGAGTTAGTCAAAGAAAGAGTTAGTGAGGGAAAGAGTTAGTTAGGGAAAGAGTTAATTGTAACTTTTAGATTGTCAGGGAAAGAGTTAGCCAAAGGAAGAGTTAGTGAGGGAAAGTGTTAGTTAGGGACAGAGTTAATTGTAACTTTTAGATTGTCAGGGAAAGAGTTAGTCAAAGGAAGGGTTAGTGAGGGAAAGAGTTAGTTAGGGACAGAGTTAATTGTAACTTTTAGAATGTCAGGGAAAGAGTTAGTCAAAGAAAGAGTTAGTGAGGGAAAGAGTTAGTTAGGGAAAGAGTTAATTGTAACTTTTAGATTGTCAGGGAAAGAGTTAGTCAAAGGAAGAGTTAGTGAGGGAAAGAGTTAGTTAGGGACAGAGTTAATTGTAACTTTTAGAATGTCAGGGAAAGAGTTAGTCAAAGGAAGAGTTAGTGAGGGAAAGAGTTAGTTAGGGACAGAGTTAATTGTAACTTTTAGATTGTCAGGGAAAGAGTTAGTCAAAGGAAGAGTTAGTGAGGGAAAGAGTTAGTTAGGGACAGATTTAATTGTAACTTTTAGAATGTCAGGGAAAGAGTTAGTCAAAGGAAGGGTTAGTGAGGGAAAGAGTGCCATTGTGATTTGCAACTGCAGGATCGTTCCCGCAATGTAAATGGGATTGCACGTGGTGCTGGTGGATGAGTTGCCGATGGAATTCCATTGTGATTTGCAACTGTAGGATCGTTCCCGGAATGTAAATGGGATTGCAAGTGGTGCTGGTGGAGGAGTTGCCGATGGAGTTTTGAAGGAAGTCTCGCACGAAATGCGTTTTTGAGAGATAGCAGATGCACGAAACCCTATGTTTTTCCATACCAAGTCCGTCCCCGAACCTCGATGATCTACCTCTGCGGTGCGACGGTTGCGAGACGGTCTCGTGTGTGGTCGGATCATGGTCGGATCATGGTCGGATCATGCTCGGATCGGTTCCGCATTGTAAATGGGGTTTCAACTGTTTTTCGTGCATGTGCGGTCGACAGAATTCCATTGTGATTTGCAACTGTAGGATCGTTCCCGCATTGTAAATGGGGTTGCAAGTGGTGCTGGTGGATGAGTTGCCGATGGAATTCCATTGTGATTTGCAACTCTAGGATCGCTCCCTCACTGTAAATGGGATTGCAAGTGGTGCTGGTGGAGGAGTTGCCGATGGAGTTTTGAAGGAAGTCTCGCACGAAATGCGTTTTTGAGAGATAGCAGATGCACGAAACCCTATGTTTTTCCATACAACGTCCGTCCCCGAACCTCGATGATCTACCTCTGCGGTGCGACGGTTGCGAGACGGTCTCGCGTGTGGTCGGATCATGGTCGGATCATGGTCGGATTTGTTCCGCAATGTAAATGGGGTTTCAACTGTTTTTCGTGCATGTGCGGTCGACGGAATTCCATTGTGATTTGCAACTGTAGGATCGTTCCCGCAACGTAAATGGGATTGCAAGTGGTGCTGGTGGATGAGTTGCCGATGGAATTCCATTGTGCTTTGCAACTGTAGGATCGTTCCCGCAATGCAAATGGCATTGCAAGTGGTGCTGGTGGAGGAGTTGCCGATGGAGTTTTGAAGGAAGTCTCGCACGAAATGCGTTTTTGAGAGATAGCAGATGCACGAACCCCTATGTTTTTCCATACAAAGTCCGTCCCCGAACCTCGATGATCTACCTCTGCGGTGCGACGGGTGCGAGACGGTCTCGTGTGTGGTCGGATCATGGTCGGATCGGTCTCGGATCATGGTCGGATCGGTTCCGCATTGTAAATGGGGTTTCACCTGTGTTTCGTGCATTTGCGGTCGACAGAATTCCATTGTGATTTGCAACTGTAGGATCGTTCCCGCAATGTAAATGGGATTGCCAGTGGTGCTGGTGGATGAGTTGCCGATGGAATTCCATTGTGATTTGCAACTCTAGGATCGTTCCCTCACTGTAAATGGGATTGCAAGTGGTGCTGGTGGAGGAGTTGCCGATGGAATTCCATTGTGATTTGCAACTGTAGGATCGTTCCCGCAATGCAAATGGCATTGCAAGTGGTGCTGTTGGAGGAGTTGCCGATGGAATTCCATTGTGCTTTGCAACTGTAGGATCGTTCCCGCAATGTCTAGAAGGTTTCAAATGGTTCGGTGGACGAGCTGAGGACGTAATACCATTGTGTTTTGCTAGGGATTGTTGCTAATCGCATTGTAATGGCTGCGTGAACTTGCTGCAGCTGGATTCTTTCAGATTTTGCCTGCTTTCATTTTCTATTTAAATTCTTTATAAAAAACGCTTCAAAAATCAACTTTTTCTGCTCTGGCGTCGAGATCCGGTTTTGGAGCTACAATTTCCGACGCCGTTGCGCGTAGTTCTATTGCGTTTTGCAACTCAGTCTCTGCAGATCGCATTGTAATGGCTGCGTCAAGGTTGCTTCGTGCTGTGGCTGCATTCGTAATACTATTGTCTTTTGCAGCTGGATCTCGGAAATCGTCTTGGAGTGGCTGCATGAAAGCTGCGAAATGGATTTGTTAGCAGATTTTCTCCATTTTGGCACTAGTGTTTTTCCCGAATGCGTAGCAAGGGTTCCCGTTTCACTCTGGGGGTCTGGGGGTTGAGAGTGTGTTCGCTCGACGTTGCGTCCGCGTCCGCAACCATTCGCAACCGTTCGCAACCGTCCGCAACCGTCCGCAACCGTTCGCAACCGTTCGTACGAGGTCCGTATGGCCGTGCCTATGGGAAGTTTTGCAGAGGTGGTCATTTTTGGAGGTTTCAGACGTGTCGTTGCTTCGTTTCGCGTGGCAGGCGTGGCACTTCGTGACATTCAGACGTGTTTTGCAACGTGTTGAAAATCGTTTCGCGTGGCAGGCGCAATACTTTTGTGACGTTTTCAGAAGATGTGTTGCAGTTTTCGTGGCAGGCGCAGCACTTTGGACGTGTCCATCGTCATTTTTCGTGGCAGGCGCAGCACTTTAGACGTGTCCTGTTGCGTGTTTTTTGTAAATCGCATTGGCAGGGCTGCGTCAAGTGGCGACAAGGTGCAAATTCCGTGGCAGGCGTGGCATTTTGTGCGATGCGCTGAAAATTGACGGAAGCCTCGCACGAAACTTCGATTTTGAGGTTGCAAATTTTCAGGTTCTAAGGAAAACTCGTAGGAAAACGTTGATTTTGAAGCTGCAAAGTGTGAAAATTGGAGGAAGTCTCGCAGGAAATGCTCGTTTTGGTGCTCCCACCTGTGTTGTCTCGCGTCTCTGGTTTTCCTGTGGCCTCGCCGTGTCTATGGGGGAAGCTGCAAAACTTGTCCTGTTGTCATGATGCCAACTGTGAAAATTGGAGGAAGTCTCGTACGAAATGCTGGTTTTTCTGCATCCACGTGTCTTGTCTCGAGTCGCTGGTTTTCCTGTGGCGTCGCCGTGTCTATGGGGGAAGCTGGAAAACCTCTCCGATTCAAATGTGTCCAAGCAGGTTGTCATGTCGTTTTGCGTGGCAGGCGTGGCACTTTGTGACATTCCAAGCTGTTTGATAACGTGTTGAAAATGTCAAAATTGGAGGAAGTCTCGTACGAAATGCTGGTTTTTCTGCATCCACGTGTCTTGTCTCGAGTCGCTGGTTTTCCTGTGGCGTCGCCGTGTCTATGGGGGAAGCTGGAAAACCTCTCCGATTCGAATGTGTCCAAGCAGGTTGTCATGTCGTTTTGCGTGGTAGGCGTGGCACTTTGTGACATTCCAAGCTGTTTGATAACGTGTTGAAAATGTCAAAATTGGAGGAAGTCTCGCACGAAATGCTCGTTTTTTTGCACCCACATGTCTCGTTTCGAGTCTCTGGTTTTCCTGTGGCGTCGCCGTGTCTATGGGGGAAGCTCCGCACTCCACACTCTACACTTTACACTCCACACTCCACAATTTACACTTTAGACTCCACACTCTACACTTTACACTCCACACTTTGCACTTTACATTCCTCACTCCTCACCTGAGACTTTACACTCCACACTCCACACTTTACACTACACTCTACACTTTCCACTCCTCACTCCTCACTCTACACTTTACACCCCGCACTCTACACTTTACACTCCACACTCCACACTTTACACTACACACTCCTTACTCTACACTCCACACTTTACATTTTACACTACACTCCACACTCTCTACACTTTACACTCCACACTTTACACTTTACACTCCGCACTCCACACTCCACACTCTACACTCCACACTCCCCACTTTACACTCCACACTCCACACTCTACACTTTCCACTCACACTCCGCACTCCACACTCCACACTTTACTGTACACTGCACACTCCACACTTTATACTTTACACTCCTCACTCCACACTCCACACTTTACACTCCTCACTTTACACTCCACACTCCACACTCTACACACCACACTCTACACTTTCCACTCCAGACTCCACACTCTACACTTTACGCTCCACACTCCACACTTCACACTCCACACTCCACACTTTACACTCCACACTCCACACTTTACACTCCTCACTCCACACTTTACACTCCACACTTTACACTCCACACTCCACACTCTACACTTTACACTCTACACTATACACTCTACACTCCACACTTTACACTTTACACTCCACGCTTTCCACTTTACACTCCACGCTTTCCACTTTACACTCCTCACTCCACACTTTACACTGCACACTCTACACTTTACACTCCACACTCCACACTCTACACTCCACACTTTACACTCCACACTCCACACTTTACACTCCACACTCTACACTTTCCACTCCACACTCCACACGCTACACTCTACACTCCACACTCTACACTTTACACTCCACACTCCACACTTTACACTTCACACTCCACACTTTACACTCTACTCTTTACACTCTACACTTTACACACTTCACACTCTACATTTTACAAACTCCACACTCCTCACTCCACACTTTACACTCCTCACTTTACACTTCACACTCCTCACTCCACACTTTACACTCCTCACTTTACACTCCACACTCCACACTTTGCACTTTACACTCCTCACCCCACACTCTACACACAACACTCCACACTCCACACTCTACACTTTGCACTCCATACTCCACACTCTACACATTACACTCTGCATTCTACACTTTACACACTCTACACTCCCCACTGCACACTTTACACTTCACACTCCACACTCCACACTCTACACTTTCCACTCCACACTGCAGACTGGTAACAAGGGAAACATGTACAAGACTGTTCAAATAAACTATTACAGAAAGGTATTGTGCGTGACTGCATAACCATGTGTTTTGACATCTGTACCATTAACATACGTGTGAGCATTCGGGTTCGTGGGCTTCATCTTGTTTTTGTTGCACGTAGGTTTAGAGCAGTGTGAAGTGTGGGGCGTGAAGAGTGCAGTGTGAAGTGTGAAGTGTGAAGGAAGCAGTGGGAAGTGAGAAGTGTGAAGTGTGGAGTGTGAAGTGTGAAGTGTGGAGTGTGAAGTTTAAGTTTGGAGTGCGAAGAGCGCAGTGTGAAGTGTGAAGTGTGAAGTGTGAGGTTTGGAGTGTGAAGGAAGCAGTGAGAAGTGAGAAGTGTGAAGTGTGGACTGTGAAGTGTGAAGTGTGAAGTGTGGAGTGTGAAGTTTGAAGTTTGGAGTGCGAAGAGTGCAGTGTGAAGTGTGGAGTGTGGAGTGTGAAGACTTTGCTTCGTCTCTCGCTGAAAAAAAAAGCCGCTTGTCGAGGGAAGGACACGGTCGGGACAGGTTGTCTTCGAACTATAGGTCATTTATTTTTGGGAAACTTCCGCCGCCGGCTTGCCCGGGTACTAGTATGGTAGTATATGGTAGTATATACCACATGTGCAAGAATGGATCCACATGGATCCACATGGATCCACATGGATCCACGTGGTACGTCTCCTTCCTGATGCGCAATGAAGGTCAAACGATTTCTCATTTCCCACCTCACCACCGCGGCGACGAAGCACTTCATCGCCTTGTGCTGGCAGTTGGTTTCAAGCTCTGGAACTGAAAGGTTGCAGTTGCGAGAGGAAACAAGATGAAACAAGTATATCATAATATATATATATATATGATTATATATGTATAATTCTAATACTACATGTCAGGAAGTGCTCCATACATGATAGGTCTTGAAGGTCACTTGAAATCCAAAGAACAAGTGAAGAACATGGAGAAAATGTTCTTACAATGTACCGAGTTCTGTCCATGTTGTGGGCTCCGAACACCACCAGGACAAGAAGCCCTTGCCGACCTCGCAAAATTTGCAGGACAGTCAACGATAGTACACCTCCTGTCTCAAAGTCCACTCAGTATCCAAATGGAAGGTCCTTGCTGATTCGACTGATTCGATACATTTCGATGGTGAACTTCTTTTTCGAGTTTGGGATTGAGTTAGATCAAGAGCGTGAGTGTGTGTGTGTGTGTGCATGTGCCTGTTTGGAATAAGAAAGAACAGGCAATAGAACCTTCACAATTTTGCCTCCCATGATCACCTGGACTCCAGAATTGATTCCAATTTTTGAAATTAATTTACCTGTACGGTTTGCACCGCAGACTCCATCTTCGGAATCCAGGGTCCCAGGCAAAGTCCTTCAGAAGGAATGGCCGTCCTTCCTCCTGACCATGGAACGCCGAGACAAAGACAGCAATGACAGAATGCAAAATTGGCGGTTGCAAATTATGTTTTGAGTAGTTGGTCGAGTAGTTACCCATCCGGTCACAAATTGTGTCACTGCTGCTCCAACGACATGGCAACTTGACTACGCAAGATGCACTATGTCACTATGTTTCCATGTACTACCGGGCGAGGCACAGCTCTGCATAGCACTCAAACATAGGGGGGAGACGATACAAATTGAACCCGCCAGACTCACAATCAGTTTTCAAAACGGCAACAAAATCAGACTCTGGCAAACACGGTGCAAACACGACGAACTCAGCTGCAATGCTGTCCTCTGCTCTCTCAAAGGCCTCTTTGGTGATCTGTTTCGATGCCTTTGAAAATGAACTTCGCGCCCTCTTCAAAAGAACTGAACCGTTCAGAGTTCTCACCGGTGTGGCTTCAAATTTCCCATCAGTGAATTTGTGTTCTCTCCCTCTGGAGCAAGACCACCTCGGGGTCTCCGGAAAACTGCAAACAAACGGCTGAATTTAGAACAACCAGCCAATCTCCAGGGCTCGTAAGGCCCATACCAAGCAGATAAACCTTGCCAGGCAAGCGAGCAACTGAGCAGAGCTTGTTGTCCAGTATGCTTCTGCATCTCCCCGTTTCCCAAAGGACTCAGCTGTCTTACCCTCCACATCTTATTGTAGCGATGGTTTGCCTCTTCAAAGAACAAGCATCTGGCATTGTGACGTAGTTGCCATGCGACTAAAGCATATTGATGCATATTGCACCTCTGATGGAGCCATGCTTGCTGACGTCATCTGAGATGATTTGCTGTGTGCCTCTATAATTCAGCATGCGCAAAAATCTTGCCAAAACTTCACGTCCCCGTCTTTGAACCAAGACACGAGTTAACAGAGCCATCCTCCATGAAATTCCTGTGCTATTCGCTTTCAGCATGTTGAAGTGGGACAACAAAAATCTCGGCCTTCTCTGACTGTAAGCAGCTGTGTTCTGGAAAATGTCTAGTACAGTACGTTGGTTTCTACTTCCTCGATTGTTCGAAATGGTCTTGTGTCATCTTGTTTCAAGAGGATTGTCAAGTCACAGGTCAAGTATGTTTGCTTGCTAGCATCTTTCGCGTTTTGGAAGGCGTATTGACTTGGAGTTTTCCAGTAGGATGACCCAAAATGAGGTGACAACATGTGTCCTTAAGTCTTCATTCCAGTGAAAGGATGTGAAAGGTACCCAAACCTATTCAGTTGCCTTAAACTTAGCTTCGGCGGCGAAGGTCAGGGCAATCCAAGACATGTATCTGCGACCTCTGTGTAAAATGGCTGAAGAGATTGTGACTTACGAAGCCTTACAAAGCCCTTTCAAAACGAAAATAAGACAGTCTCACTGAGTCTTACTTTTTGGATTCTTTGGATGAAGGATTTTGGGAGCTGGTTTGTCGCAAGCTACTAACCACATTCATGCTGCTCCGATCTCAAGCCCCCTGCAAATTGCAAGAGTTGCCAAGGGTTATTACAAAAGAAAATAGCATCTGGAAATCTTGTCCAATATTATTTATAAGCTCGCTGAAGCCACTCGGCTGCTTGACGTCAAGACAAGTGCAAGTTCCAAGAATAAGTTCTTAGAGATCTGCATGGCCATCCGACAGAAAGAAAATTGAAGATCCAAAAAATCGGGTTTCAGTTGTATGATTTCAGTTGCATGATTTCCCTTCAAGTAGCAAGCTATGATCGCAATGAAGTCTATCTAGTCATGTTCCCTTCTGTTAGAGGCACGAGGGCCATTTCGTGCCGCAGCCTCATGCCCAGACTGTCTCCCATGTATCAAACGGTTTTTGATGAACAAAAACAATGGGGAATTTGTTTGTTTTGTTTGTTCCATCTCAGTTTTATACTTTTGCTTGTCTTTGTTTGTTGAGGTTCAAGTGCCTCCCCAACAGTCAAGTCCTTTGCAAGAGCTTCAGCCTCAGTGTCTGAGAGGATACGACTGATTTTCAAAATCGAAGTAGGCTGGTTCACCTCACAAAACGCATTAGGACGAGGACCTTCTCTTGCAAAGATTGTCGTTCCTGGCGTGCTGTCGTCTCCTGCAACGTGGATAGCGTGAACAGGCACATTTCAACATGATACAGAAGAGCACTACAGAAAAGGCAAATATGATCAAATAATATCAAATATGAATATTACACTCACATAGAAAAAAACAGCAGTCAAATCATTAATGGATTTAAAAGCAAAGTTCAGGCCACACACAGCCACAATCACCCTTTGTCAGAACCTATGGCCCATTATGGCTGACCCCTGCTGACTTACAGTCCAACGTGTCGCAGCTGGCGTTTTGTTAGCATGCTCCTCTCTCTCGCGTGCGCTGATAGCCATATCCACCTTCGCTTGGAGCTCGGCTACCTTTTGCAGAAAGGTCGTGACTGCATTTGATGAAGATTTGTAAATTCCACTACGTTTGAAGCTTTTCACCCCTACATTGCTAAATGATACTAAATGCATCTGCAGAATGAAATCAAGGTCACTCTAGAGAAGCTTCAAGTCATCCCTGTGCCAAAGTGACGTTGGACGACTGTTCTGCGATCCCAAATGGCTGATCTGCCGATTTCATGTTATCCATTGTTATTCCACGTATTTCTCCCGTGTCTTCCGTATGTCTTATGTTCTTCTCACGTTCTTCTGACGTTCTGCATCTCTCCGTGACGTCTGGAAACGGTGCTCCTCGGCATCACGCCGCGCCAATAATGCATCAAGGTCTGCAGCCAGGGCCTGGTGTCGGCTCCTGCACAAATGGGAGTTCAAAGGCCTTAAAAAATCGTGTAAAAATCGTAATTCAGTGTGAATTCACAGCAAAACAATCTAAAAAATATCAAAACATGACATCAAATCGTAACATCGACCGACATCCTGATTCAAATTGAATTGTGACGTGACATTGAAGGCTTCATGCTTCGAGTGAGTCCAGTTTAAAGTCAACTTTAGTAAAGGAATTGATCCGGTGCTGAAGGATCCTTCAGGACGCTGAAGGGATGCTGAAGGTGTAAAGGAATTGTATAAAAGAATTGTATGAGAACTTTACGAACTTTGCAGGCTCTCACTGTGCCATCGCCTCCACGTCTCAGCCTCGTTGCCACGGACTTCACGCTCTGCTTTCACCTTTACCTGTCTGAGGTTGACAGCGCACTCCCAGACTGCACCAAACCAGAACCAACAAAGACAGCCCTGATCCACGGTCATGGCAAAACAAAAAAACAGCCCTTGTGTTCTCCGACAACATCATTTGGACATCCACCTTTCACCTAAAAAGGACTGCAAGAAACGAAAGATGAAGAAAGCACTTAGACTCCAAATGGCTGCAATCTCCTGTGCAATCGATGTGCAATCTGTGCATTTGCAATCTGCTGTGGCACAGGTGGTACAGGCGCACTTTGCCTGGAGATGATGTTCCAAGTCTTGCAGACGATTCAATTCACCTCGCCTCAGGCAGGACCATGGATGACCATGGATGACCATGGATGACCATGGATGACAAAGGGGCTTCACATGCTTCACTGGCTCCCAATGCACTTCTAGGAGGTCGATGGGTTTGGCACCGGAACATCGCATTCCCTTCTGGGATAGTTTTGCCTCGTTATTCCTCTCCAAGAAATGGTAAGACCAAGACTCGAACTACACCTCGTAGCTCAGAATTTCAGCCACTGCGATTCAATGTATTTTTTGCTGCTCATACGATTCTTCCATCTTCCATATTTTTCTATCTTCTTGGACTATCCTGGGCTTTGCATTCAGACGTTGTTCGATGCAGAAAAACTCGTCCGGTAACATAGTAAGACTCTTTAGGACCCCCACATCTTTTTGTCCTCTTCGGAAATCCTGCAAAACTGAGGCAGCTGAGGCAGGTGATGTGGTGATGAGTCATGTCCAGAGATCGGTGCAATGCAATAGTCTTTCGCTTTTTTCTAGAAAGAGTTTGCACAGGTCCCGCCATAAGACCTCTCTTACCCTGCACCAATACAATGTGAATTGAAAGACGTCTTGTTAAAAGACAGCCACAACGCTGTTGCATGCTGTTGCACACTGTTGTATCAGAAGACTAGCCATTCACATCACCACCTCTTTGGATCAGCACTGACCTTCCCAGCAGTTCACGCTCCATCTGTTTGAGACTTTCGCCTCAGTGTTGAAGCCAATCAGCAAACCTTGCAACAAAAAAAGGGCACGAATGATACAACACATCCCTTCCTTCAAAGCATTTCTTTGTATTCTTGGTATTTTCAACCTCGAAGGATTGCAACAATCATAAATTGAGAGAACTGCTGTTGACCTGACGTAGTTTCAGGGTTTGGATTACGAAATTGTCGCTCCAAGATTCCTAGTACAGGTTCCATGTCAAACATACAACTGGCGATCAGATAGCATCACTCCATGTCATCTCTCATTGCCAAGGCACAGAAACTGTACGACATGGAATGTGCCTACGAATACAGCATGGTCGATTTTGACCGGAGATGCTTTCAGCCCCTTCAGTATATAATAGATACGAACTATGAAGACAGAAGATGACAGAATCATTGAATGAGTGGTTCTATGAATCCACCCAAAAAAACCATCAGGTCCTTGCTGATTCAACTTCCAACTAGTTGGCTTCCAAGGTTCTGGACACCAAATTCCCTTGGTGGAATTGGCCATCCAGGTTCTACACACATATTCTAATTACATTTTTTTTATAATTATGATTGTTCGAAGGAAGTTTAGAAGTCAAACTTCCGACAATATGGAGAGATGAAAAGCAGAGCAGGGCAGAGGCAGAGAGAAGAGGAAGATTAGAAGAGAGAAGATCAGAAGAGAAAGAGTAAGAAGACAGAAGATACAGATGCGCGAAAAGGTAGGAAAGTCGCGAAACACTGTGTTTTTCCAATGTAATGATTTGTGGCTCCGGAGGGTCGAAAAGTAGGCTCGCTAAAGCGGCGGGTGCGGAGCCAGCTGGCCACAGGAGCGATGAAAAATTGCGCGCCGTTGTGGCGCGAAGCACATTTCGAAGTCAAAAGTGTTAAAAACTGGCGGTCTCGGACCACTTTTGGAAGTTGAGATGTCAAAAAAGTGCGCGCCGTTGTGGCGCGAAGTATATTTCCAAGTCAAAATGTACAAAACACACCATCGTCGGACCACTTTTGGAAGTTGCGATGTCGAAAAAGTGCACACCGTTGTGGTGCGAAGCACATTTCCAAGTCAAAATGTACAAAACACACCAGGTCCGGACCACTTTTGGAAGTTGCGATGTCGAAAAAGTGCACGCCGTTGTGGCGCGAAGCACATTTCGAAGTCAAAATGTACAAAACACACCATGCTCGGACCACTTTTGGAGGTTCAGATGTCGAAAAAGTGTACGCCGTTGTGGCGCGAAGCACATTTCGAAGTCAAAATGTGCAAAACACTAGGGTTTCGGACCATTTTTGGAGGTTCAGATGTTGGAAAAAAGTGTACGCCGTTGTGGCGCGAAGAACACTTCGAAGTCACACTACATTACAGTACATTACTCCTCCAGTACATTCCACTACACTAAATTACACTACACCACACTACATTACACTGAATGACACTGCAACACAGATAGACAGGTAGACAGCTAGACAGATAGAGAGATGAAAGGGAGAGGGAGATAGACAGGTAGGTAGATAGATAGATAGATAGATAGACAGGTAGACAGCTAGACAGCTAGACAGATAGACCGATGAAAGAGAGAGAGAGAGAGAGATAGATAGATAGATAGATATAGATAGATATAGATAGATAGATAGATAGATTGGGTAATTGAATGAAAGAAAGAGAGAGATAGATAGATAGATCGATAGATAGATAGATACATAGAAAATAGATAGGTAGGTAGGTAGATAGTCAGAGAAAGAGAGCGAAAGAAAGGAGACCTCAAGCACCTTCCGGTCCATCAGTGGCTTCGCTCTGCCATCCCTGATTCACAACAACCAACCTCTCCTATAGGTTTCCTATTTTTGAAACTTCCGCCACCGCCTTGTGCGGTACTACTGGTAATATGAGTCGATCTGAGTCTATCGATGTCTTTCTCCGGTAAACCAAAACGCCCTCAGATGCTGCCTCTGCCTTCAAAGATCTCTGACCCACTCGCCTGTTGTTCGGGGCGAAGGGTTTAAGTGCTATGCTGAAATTCCGCTTCTGACGTTGGGAGTGACATCAGACCATTTATTCTTCAAATTGCATGTTTGGCAGCAACAGGCACATGGTTTGAAACTCAAGAAAGTCAGTGGTCACAGGCCAAGTGCAACAATGATTCACTGCTTTCATTGAGCATGTCCCAAATCCAGTTGCACAATCAAGTTGCTGGTTTCCAACGTGTCAAACAATGTCAAACAGGTTGACTGTTAAGTAAAACGATCCTCTCTGTCCTCAGCCAAAAATAGCCGATTCAATTTATACTTGGAAATTGCACAAACTTCACAGCTTCAACCCTTGGTGTTCCGGCAGCATCTCCACACGTGAAGCCGCTGAAGCAGCCATGCGCCTAAGACTTTCAGCATCGGTACATGCTGTCCATGCCTTTCATATGCTCTGAGATCTTTGGGAATCCTTCGTTTCAACATCTTGGCTCTTTCAATTCTTTATCTTGCCTCTAATCTAATTCCTACTTTCCGAAACATGCTATTATCAAGAGAATGGATAATTAAACCTGGTTAACCATCATTATCATACAGTCTCTCTATATAGGGCGTGGTGACGTGCAGGGAGGAAGCCAACCGCCTCACAACCCACCGGCAGAATCCATGGACATCCCCGTTTTGCTGGACAAATGAAATCGCTTTGGGTTCAATTGGAGCGACGGGAGCACAAGAATGCACAAAGTCAGCCGAACAAAAGCTCAGGAGAACTCAGGAGTCAGCCAACAAGAGTCAAGCCGCACAGTGAAAGCTTCCTTCATGACACAGAAATCCTGCATCGATTCCAAGGAAACGAAGATGGTGTTCCGCTAGCCATTTGGGTACCCGGTACCTGCAATCCAAAGTAAACCTGGAGCCTGGAGTATGGTGGAGTATGGCAAGAGCTTCAAGCCTCTTCGAAGCCAAGTTGTGTGAAGCAATGTTTTTTTTTTCAAGTCTTTTCAAATACTGAAATCTTCAAAGTCAGAAAATCTTCTCAAATATATGTTTATATAAATGATACTGAGTTACTCTGAGTTGGTTATGCTGAATTAAAAAGACAAAATCAGCTGCGCTCCTCATCAAGGCGTTTCTGCTCCTCTTCCAAGGCCTTCTGTGCTTCGTGCGTCCAGGTCGCCTTGCAAACTCTTGTCTCATGGTTTTCCCACGAGAAAATATTGACCATGTCACGCCAATATCATTTCACCACATTTCACCTCATTTCAGCTATGTACATGAAAAGGAAAAGGAAAGAACGTTCAAGCATGAACATAAAGCAAGTATCTGCTGAGTTGCTGCCGCTTTTGCATGCAGTGCGTCATCTTGCAAACGGACTAGCTTCCGTGCAAGTTGTGAGAGAGTGTCTTGCAAAGCTTGCATGATGGCAGCAACCAATTCACATTGCCTCACTGCAGACATCTCACGAATGGGTACTGACCAAAAAACTGGCAAGGGAACAGTGACCTTCAATTTTGAACGTTGCCAGACCATGCCAGACCCGTGTTTGGATGTTCCGTCCTCAACATCTGAGTCCTGGTCCATAAAACAAGGGCACGTTGACAGAGAACATAGACAACCGGGTGCTGAAAATGCGTTGAATGTGCTTTTGACCCACTCGCTGCACACCTTCTCTCGGCTGAAAGCTTCTTCTTGCCTTGAAAGCTTTTCCTCAAGCAAAGGATCGTCAAGGAAACATGAAAACTCTTTGGCACGCCTGCAAACGAAAAGGGTGGCATCGTTTGCCATTACGTGTTGGCTTGCATCTTGGCGCATTAGACAAGCATGTTTGCTGGTGTTTACTGAACCCTCCATAAACATCCATAAACAAGCAAAACGTGGAATGGCGATATGATACAAGTGCAAGCAGCATTCAGCTGGTCAAGGACTGCTATATGAGTCAGCGTACAAAATGTCCTTCTCCCTTTCTACATTCAGCGAAGGAACAAAGCAGCTCATCCTACATATTCACCACTTGGAGTTCACGAATCATGTCCAGTGCATTGTCTTGAAGGTCGTGAAACATCAACGGTTTGTTACGCTAATGGTGTTTCCACCACTAAATGATAAAGGCGAAGACTCCATCTCTTGCAAGCGTTGCTGCGTCAAATGGCTTAGCTCCTGCAATGTCAGACTCTTCATCACAATTCTATATTCCAGTCATTGCAAACGCCGGCAGATGAAGGAATGTTCGCATCTCTTTGATTGAGGGTGTGTACTGAAAGGGGTGCGGTGTTGGTTCATTGAAAAGGCATCAAAGAAGGACAGGAACCCTACCCGCATTTGCGTGAAAGGAGGTTGTTGAATCAAACTGCTTTGCCTCATTGGCCCACAATCCTGGAAAGTCTCGCAAAAGAACATTCAGACATTTTGAGTTCTTGCTCGTGAAAAGAGGGTGGCTGCATTTGGCATGTGTTATAACCCACAGCCTCGGTCTGCTTCTGTACTTCTTCAACCAAGCGCCGGTTCGTGCCCTGAAAGACCAATGGTGATGCCAGGCGAGAAATCCCTGGTTTCATCTTCAAGAAGGTATGCCGATGTATGCCGTATGCTCGAAAGAGTCCCTATTTGGTTCCAACACGTTCCAACGTTTTCCACCTCTTGATTGAGTGACACAAGCAGCTCACAAGCACCTTCATGGACCGTAAGGACGTGTGGAGCTCCTCATTGGCCTCTGCCTAAAGATAGAATCAACTGAATCAACTCTGCAATTCTGTCAAGCCACGTCAAGCCACGTCAAGCTTCTGAATTCCTTGTAGGCAAAGCAATGCGGAGACAGGCAAAGATGTATTGCAGGAGGAAAATAAATAAAAAACCGTCTGACAAAAACTTCAATGAAACCATTACTCAACAAGGAATATGTCCTTCAGTATTAGTCGATGAGAGTATCTTTGGGGGCACAAACATAAAACAATTTTGTTATGCAAGCTTCTCATGAAATGCCTTCCAAAACGTGCCATGGAAGATGGAAGGACTTCCAAAATCTATATATGTTGTATTATGTTGTGCTAAATACAGAGGTACTTTGGGAATCATAGTGCATAGGTCTGAGCGTCTGACAATGCGGAGCATCTCAGTGTTGAGATCCTGATGAATCAAGAAGCACCAAATAGCACCAATAAACATTCATTCATTATTGTTCGCAATCGTTCCCTTCATGCATTATGCTGTATTAAAGATAGCACAGGACGGAATGCTCCACTCTTGGGTTCCGAAGGTTGAGAGTATCGGCTAAGGCGTCTTGATTTGATAACTTGGAACACGTTACCGACTTTACCCTTTTCAAGTGAGAGCAATGGATGTCTGGCTTCAACTCAGCCAACCCAACTTGATGGGCTGATGGCAAGCTGTTTTGCTCAAGCTGGTGATTTCGCTACTTTGTCTGAAGCAGAGAATATTTTGCTTCCTTTGCAACAGTTTCGCAATAGAGTTGTCTACATTTATAATGTCAAGGACAGTATATAGTCGAAATGAGCATGAAGTTTTGTGGGTTTTGCTTCATTAAACTGCTGGCAGATCAGGTTTTTTCAGCAGAATCATTTCATTTCATATCATTTCTTTCAGAAACTGCAGGTGTTTCTTCGCACCAACACTTTGATGTTTGTGCCAAATGTGCAGTGTCTTGTCAACATGATCCTATCCAGTGCCTGAATGGATGTTGAGAAATACAGGTATCATTGGCGCAGGGATGACACGGAAATTCAAGCAGCAAAATCCTGAGTCAATTTGTGTGTCCTTCCAAGAAAACGCAAGTCATTAATTCTTGGTCTTTTTTTCGAAATGTTTAAATTGGAGCCCCAAATCATCGTTGAGCATCTTGTATAAATCTAGATGTGTTTTGGCGTCCATTGTTTGTATCCTTTGATCTACTTCAATCTATGCCGGTGCATGTCATAAATTGTGTCTGTACATCAGGTTCGAAGTCAAGTTGTCAGTTGTCACCCAAAAAAGTGCTCCAAGTCTCCAAATATCAAGATTCGCACTTTTAATCAAAACAATACCAAGGATCAAGACGCCAATCCGAACCAGCACATCCTCTGATTCTTTGCAACACAAATTAGGTGTCACAAACAATAGACTCAATAGACCATGCTGCAATATGCCATAACCCCCACCTGGCAACGTTTCTGGGTCTCTGTCAGGCTGGTGCGAAGAACCTGCGGAAGGGTTGGACTTTGCTCGAGGCGCAGTCGAGCGATCAGATTGCAATCACTTGAGAGACCTTCACAAATCTACAAACTTTGCCTTTTCTGCGGACAAAAACATACAAACAAACATGAGACAACGCTCCCAAGAGTCTATTGATGCACACTCGAGCATGCGTGTCCATGCAGTACACCACTCTGTTCAGCGCCAACAGAACGCGTCAACAATTTGGACGTGAAATGCTCTGGGCGGCAGCGCATTGTAGGCTCCATCAGCTGGTACTGCTAAACTCCTAGGCAGGGGTGAATGGCCAATCCCGCACTGGCAGAAATTGGCAATAGGTATGGCAAGCACATGTGAACAACTGACCGACTATCAATAGACAAGAGCATATTTACATGAATGCATACACAGTATACATAGATTCACATATAGAATAGGATAGGACAGGATTCGATAGGATTCGATAGAATTCGATTGGATTAGATTTGATTTGATTAGATAGACAAACAAATAGACCGATAGACAGATAGACTGATGGATGGATGGATGGATGGATGGATGGATGGATGGATGGATGGATGGATGGATGGATACTCGGAAAATAGAGATCGACAGAAATCGATAGAGATCCACAGAGATCGACAGAGATCCACAGAGATCGACAGAGATCGACAGAGATCGATAGAGATCGATAGAGATCGATAGAGATCGATGGAGATTGATGGAGATCGATGGAGATTGATACTATCTACTATCTACATAAATGATCTCTAAATATTCAAAGTGCATATTACTGCTGACTGTGCCATGCCATGCCACGCTACTCTTTATCTCGGATTCCCAACGGCATCAGGTCACTGTTTCGAAGCTCCACATCCATGGCCTGCACAAAGCGAAGTGAACTGGCAAGGCTGAGCCGACTATCGCGGTTCTAAACTGGGAATGTTCTGCATCTCAAACCGTGAGAAAACATGTGAAAACCAAGTTTGGGAAATTGTGGGAATGTTTCTGTGAGAATCAAAGTCCATCTGCCTGGATTGCAGATGCCAAACGATCGAAACTCACAGGACCTCATGTGTCACAGCCCTGCTCTATATTTTTGTTACCTTCTGAATAATAAGTATAAAACGACATATAAACATAAATCTATATAAATATAAATATGAATATAAATATCAATGTCAATATGAATATGAATACACATATCAATGTGAAAATGAATATGAATATAACTGAATATATTCATGAATATGAATAAATTATAAATATTCATGATCCTCAGTCTCATAGAACGGAGGATTGTTGTGGTTCCAAAGAGATGTTCTCCTCATTATGCAATCTGTCTTTTGGCAAGGAAATACATTTAGAAAAGGACAGCATACACACATAAATGCATTCTACGTACAATTACCTGCATCCATGCTTGACCGTTTGCTTCCAGCATGCAAAATTGGAATAGGAGACCTTGAACCCCTAAACAATCATCAGTCTGCAAAGCCATGCAAGGATGTTAAGGATGTGCCTTTTTGTTCACTTTTGTTTTCTTTGGCACGGCTGACTTATTGACCTAAGCTGTGGTTCCTGCCATCGAGAATCGAAGTCAGCCGCAGGACATGGCCTTGGTTCGTGCATGTGCGGATACATCCCACAGGTAGGAAAGTATAAGAAACATTCGGAAATTGTCACATTAACAGTCATTAACATCATTAACAGAGCTTTACAGCAGTCATGGTTCCAGCCTTCCAGGGCTCTAAGGATCTAGTTGCTTTTGAGGGGCTTGCATTGCAATGTAAACCAAACATTGCTGATCAAGGTTGCTTGTTCAACTTTTCTGTTGGTTTTCTCCACCAAAAGGTCGGAACAAGGAGACTCAGGGAAGGACTGTCGACCGCCCGCTTTAGAGCCTCCAGGAACATTGAATGGAATCACCAAAAAAACAGAATCACAAAGACATCAATCGATTCATTATTTCGCGATTGCATCATCCGTCCACAACCCTTCACCTCAAATTTCAATTTTGTCTGCTCCTTCTCTGCAGTGGCCTGCGCAGATTGAAGAAACGCCACCATCAACTTAACTCTTCATTATTAAAAAAAATGGTTCGCATGCAAATCCAGTATGTTCTGACTTCTGACCCCATATTTTTATGTGGTTCAATTTCAGCCACCAGTGGTAGCAACGGCACTTAAGAATCACACTCTACAACAACATTGCATTTTGGAAGACTTTGGGGGAGCAGATAAAGTGTCGCTTACCAATGTATGAAATCAACACCCAACGGGATTGCTATGAAATCAGTTACTAGTTACTAGATCATAAGGTCTGAGATTACAGGTACCATGCCAAGTTACCGCACTAACGGAAGACATGAACATGCGTTTTTGGAAAAACAACAAACAATACATTTCAAATGTTCATCAATGTTTACCAACCCCCACACCATGCAAATCCAAAAGTATAAACATTGCATCAGCAATCAAGTTTTTCAAACCGCCATTTTGGTCAGTAGATTGCTAAATCCAGGTCTGAAAAAAATGCACGTCACATGAAACGAAATATCGCTGCGATTCGGTTGGGAGCTGTCCTACGAACCACCCATCCACCTGCGCTATTTGGTGCCTGATGGCGACCTGCAAGTGCAAATCAGACTAACAAAAATGTTGTACGAAAAGTTAGGCCAAAACACAATTAAAATGCAATGAAAAACCATTGTATGCTCCAAGTGATAGGACTCGGTGTCATTTTGGCACGGTCTGTGTTTTGGACCACAGCAACCGTTTTGAAACAGACATGTCAAAAACAACGTAACATAATTCGAACAAATGCACATCAAGAACACAAAAATGATATCAATTGCGATCAGCATGTTTTTTCACAACCAGCCTCCTCCATGATTTGAACAGCTGCCGACAAATCATGCCATTGTTTCTTTCATTTGGCAATCGCATGAAACTTCAAAAAATGCAGGTCACGGCACAACATCAACGACACAAACCTGGTTCAATCTTCGCAAACAGTCGAATTGCGTGAACTGAATCAGTTCGGTTCACCAACGCGGTTGCCAATTGATTTGTCAATTTTTGCCACGGTTCGGTGCATGTGCAATGAAGTTTTACAGACGTCATCGACAAGAGGGTTTGAGCCTGTAAACACCCCCAAACCATGATTTTCTTGTGAATCCACGGGTCACATGTGCCTGTTTTTTGATTTGACACAAGGTGCCAAATCAACACCCAAACAAAATCCACATGTTCAGGACAAATTTGTGTGAACACCAGGAAACATGTTACATTGTCAAAATGAAAACGAATCAAAAACATTCAAAAGTTGATTTCAATGCCTAAAGTATTCCCAAATAAACGCCGTGAAAACACAAAATTGGACAACACACATTGTTGGGGTGACACTGTTTTCAAGTGGTTGGGTTGGTGATTTTAGTCCAAAAACTAATGTTTGATCAAATTCAAATCAAAGAGCTTTACATTCGTGTTCCCAGAAAAAAGGCCATAAACATCAATAAACAACTTACAACGTTGCTCTGAGCATTGGTTGACAGTCTTTTGAACAAATTACAAAGAAAACAAAAAATGCCCGAACATGCGCATTCGAAAACCAACATGCAGCAGGATGCTTCACAAATACACCAAAAACAGGGTGGCGGCGCCTTTGGAGCGACCGCGTTTTTTCTGTTTTTCAAAGGCGTTATATGTTTTTTGAAACAAAATCCCTCTTAAAACACGGATTTCATTAATCAACCATGTTCGATCAAAGTATCAAAATGCGTCAAAAACAGTGGATGCGCGCCTCAAAATGAAGTGGGTGTTGTTTTCGTTGTAGCGAAACGCCGATTGTTGAAAAAAAAATGTTCTCGAAAAAATTGCGCCCCAAACTGATTTTTTTTTCGTTTGCTGACTTGCCTCGAAGTGATATCCAAATTTTTGGTTGATTGGCAAAATGAGTTTTCCCAACTCCAGCAAGAGATCTTTCGGGGATCTTGTTTTGCAGCGTTTCCAGTACCATACTTGGTAATCTGCAATTTGAGTTGGTTTCCTGTCAACTGTCGGGTGGAAAGTTGCCTTGGCAAAATTATTTGAAACCATTGAGTGTGAGTGTGTGTGTGTGTGTGCAAGCGCTACAGAAACCGTACAATGTAACATCAAATGCGTATGCAAATGCTATAGAAAATCGTCGAACATAACATCGAGCATGCGTGCAAATGGTGCCGAAGATCGTCGAGCTTAACATCAAATGTGGATGGAATTGCGCCAGAAGATCGACGAACGTAACATCAAATGTGCATGCAAACAAACCAAAAACGTAACATCCAATGTTCGCACGTGTGTGCGCGCAAAACTTTGTGATCGTACAGCGATGTGCGTGTGTGTGTGTGTGCGTGTGTCAAACACTGTCGACTAAAAACAAAAATCGGGAACTATTTTTTGGTTTTGTTTTTCTCACAGCAAAAGGCCGCAGGCCTGTCTTTGACGTTGCGGTCATCGAAATCGTCATTGACAAGAATGTAAACGTACCGGATGTTAATGCTCCTGGGCGCAATCAATGGTCGCAGCTAGGGGCCCCACATGATTCCACACATGATGCCCATGCATAATTTTTTCGGGAATTTTCATGATGAAATTTGATGTTGCAGTAGGCTAGCCCCTGGACGGATACCAGTGTGCGTGTGTGTGTGTGTGGGTGGGTGGGTGGTATGGTTGCATCTCATCCAAGCAGAATAGAAACCGAACGCTTTAGTTGAAAGACGTCAGGCGCGCCGCTCTCTATTTTTGTCCCATGGGGAAATGCTGGTCACTGAGATCCCTTAGACACCATCGCGTTTCGACGGCTGGGCTAGGCAGAACGTCAAGATGAAGTGCCGGTCGATGTGGCAACAGAGTCCCAAACGTTGGATGGAGCGGATGGCTGCACGTGCAGAAGGATCATGCTGCAAACAGCGAGCTGGGCACAAGCAAAGAGCCGTCCATGGGACGATGGCGAGGGTGTGACTGGAATAACGGAAACAGAGAACTGAAACATGTAAGGTCACTTGACCTAAACGAAAATGGAAACATGATGTGAGGTCACCCGACCGAACTTGCTGGCTGATAGAGAAGGTCTCACGTGAGCACATGAGTCGGTGGGATGAAACAGTGGTCGCGACGAAAAATTCAACAAAAAGTTCGCCCATGGTTTGATTGCTATGCTCTCCGGCGACACTTCAACTGAAGTCTCAATTCGCATCCCAATCAAAACATTGAGCATCAAACAGAGATTAATGGTTCGAAAACGTATAACAAGGTTATACTCAAGCGAAGCTTGCACAAATAAAACTGCATCAACGTTGTCGAGTTACGTCTTATTTGTTCAGGGGTTTCATGTGCTTCGAACCAAAAACAACAATGTGTCATCAAGTCTGAAATCAGTTTTTTCTGTAAAAAAAAACGTCAAGCGCACCGCTCTCTATTTTTGTCCCATGGGGAAATGCTGGTCACTGAGATCCCTTAGACACCATCGCGTTTCGACGGCTGGGCTAGGCAGAACGTCAAGATGAAGTGCCGGTCGATGTGGCAACAGAGTCCCAAACGTTGGATGGAGTGGATGGCTGCACGTGCAGAAGGATCATGCTGCAAACAGCGAGCTGGGCACAAGCAAAGAGCCGTCCATGGGACGATGGCGAGGGTGTGACTGGAATAACGGAAACAGAGAACTGAAACATGTAAGGTCACTTGACCTAAACGAAAATGGAAACATGATGTGAGGTCACCCGACCGAACTTGCTGGCTGATAGAGAAGGTCTCACGTGAGCACATGAGTCGGTGGGATGAAACAGTGGTCGCGACGAAAAATTCAACAAAAAGTTCGCCCACTTGAGCAATAAATTTC